TTGCCAAATATCGAACCCGGCCAAGACATGTATGTTTTTATTATGCGTTTTTTGCAGCTATGCAATTCAGAAAACGTATGTTGACGAGAGGTTGTCTCTGTGTGTGTGCCTGTGTCTGTGTGTTCTTCTGTACCGATTTTTCATCTCGAGACCAGCAAAAGCTACAGGGAAACATAATCTACATGCACATACAGGCCCCCATCCCCGAAATGGGCGGCCTCACTCGCGTGGTACCACGTAAGAGCCCGCCGAAATTTTTCTCGGGTAAGTTCATAACTCGGGGATCTGAGATGCTAAGAAGCTGAAATTTTAAGGGGTGTTTCCTGACAGTTCTGGCGGCCAGTCTTAATTTGTTTGGCTAGAAGGATTTGTCGAAAAAGCCGGTGCCAGTAGCAACAAAAACTGCGGGGAACTATGCAAAAAACGCATCTTCGCACGGACAGCCCGTGCGTTGGCCATTTATTTATCTGATAACAAAAATTTGAGTTAAAATCTGTTACAACCGTAGCCTTTTTCAACTTTATGAATTTGAAGTTGATTTTACGGGGAAAAAACGTTTGTCTTTTAGAAATGGTCATCGCTATGGTCAGCTTTACTATTACGATAAAGCATTCGATCGTGTCACTGTACGCACCGAGAAACCACTGCAACGTTGTGGCGGGACGTTCTATAATTTGACAACCACTGAAGACCCAATTATCCAGAAGGTTTGTTTTTTTTTTTTTTTTGTAACTCATTTATATTAAATTTATGATAGTTACATTCATCACAGTTGTTGTAATGACGAAGTCCAACTGTGGTAATGGTAAGAAATGTATACGACTTAATGGACCGAAACATTTTTTACCCTTATAATGATTTAAATAAATAATTTTATTGTTTTTACTAATTTCTTAATACTATTTTCTTTTTTATTCTTTTTCCCACTTCAAAATTCGCTTCTTTTTCTCTCCCTTCCACTTGTCTCGAAGAAATAGATTAAGAATTACAGCTGATTTAGGAAAGTATTCATATTCAGTTCAGTTTACATCATTTTGACATAGCCATAGTAGCAGGTAATTCCAGTTGTTGGCAATGATAAGGTTCAGAAAATC